ACTTGCCTTTTCATAAATATACATACTTCCATCTGCATGAGCAACTACGAACGAGCCAAGACTGTTTGGAATCCACGCGATACATGTACACCGACTGTTTAATTCATGAAAAGGAAAATGAGATGCTATAAACGATTTCAATCTGTAGATCAATCAAATATATTCTCTCATCACCGTAATAATAAAGATTCATGGATAATAAATACTAAATAGCATGGAGAGTTCAGAAATGGAATAGAAACGAATAGAGGCGATTCGTGCCTATTATTAACAGAACCGTCTTTATTATAATGATGGGCCCCCACAAGCTTTTTCCCAACGTCTTGTAACTGCTGCCTTAGCGATACGGAATAAACTGTGGATGAAGAAAGTTAATCCCATTCCATATTCGGGCGAAAAACGTGTCCCTTTTAACAATCCAAGACAAGGAATGCATTATGCATACCATCACCAGAGCTTAAACCGATTAGCAAATCATGCTCATCTTCGGCCTCAGAGTCGAACGCGTGGCAAACAGGATTCGAGTTGCCAAACTGTAATGACTTTATTGGATCCTATACAGCAACGAATTAGACAAATAAGAAAAAAAACGATTCCCGGTAAAACTTTTAATCGAAAGTAAGTACCTTTTCTTGAGAATTTAAGTCGCCGATCAGAATCGTGTCGCCAACATTGAACACAACGTAAGATCCCTGACCATCGAAATTTGAGACACCAACCACATTGTTCGAACTTGAAGCCCCTAATGATCCTAATTTACCATTTGTGCCATTTATAGATTTGTTTCCGCCATTGCCGCCTGAATGGCTTAGTGCCCTGCCGCCAGTGCTGCCGCCCAATAAACGGGCAGCCACTGACCTTACTCCAGTGCTTGCACCCGAACTTGATGATGGTTGGAATGGAGTCTCCTTTGGCTTTTCCTTAAGATGAGCAACTGTGACCTGGCGACAAAATTATGCAGAAATATAAACCAGAAGTCGAAGAACCGAAAGAAAATGTTGCAAGGATTTCGTAATAAAGGCTTGAATGAAGAGAATCATGTTTTGAGATTTTGAACTCAATAACTTAAACAGAAAGTGCTATCGTAAATTTTCACATCATCTTCGAGTCAGCAACCGGCATAATACATTTACAAAAGATAACAAATTTCCCAATCTTTTTCACCTCGTTTATTCACTGAACGCTTCCATTTAGTCCTGCAAATTGCCCAAATCAGAAGCTTTTGATTTTGAGAACAATCATCATGCAATTCCCTCGGGTTAGTTAGCATCAGATAACTCTTGTATCATCATAAAAACCATACACTTTACACACAAGAATTTCCAGCTCAAACCTCAAGAACAAAAGTCGACAGTACAACACAAGCCATTCCAAAGCTCCGACCTATTTACAATTACACCTATTTACCCAATGCAGCTCACAACAAATGAACATCAACCAATATTCCATCACCAAAAATTCAATCGTTTTGCACTATAAACATCCAGCAATACATACACTATCCAAATCCACCCAAAAACAAAATTTCCACAATAAATCATACAAAAAATTAAAAAAAATGAAAAATAACGAAAAATCGACCAACCTGGGTCACAGTTCTACCATGGGCGGAATTAGAAGCGCCAAGGGGATAGGTTTTCTCGTACTGAAGCTTGTATTTGCCTTCAGGGCCTTTGAAATACGGTTTCAAACCCGGGTTCGACCCATTGGTTCCAGACGGCGCCGTATTGGTGCTGCTCGCTGTTGTATTCATCTCTTGTTGAGCGAGAAAGGGCTCAGTGAACGTGATTAAGAAAGGACTTTCAAGCTAAGCTGAAAAATTTTCAGTGTTCTCATGTGCTGCTTTGTGATATAAATGCTCAGTCCTTATGGATCAAGCCGTCTACTCCTCTTTAGATATATCTTTTTTTTTAAACAAATGAATATACATTTATATTAAAAAATACTATAATTTTATTTATGTTATTTTTTTATTAATTGTGAAACATTATTTTCTCAATCACAGTAGTATTCATCCTGTGCACATGCACACAAAAATATAAAAACTTATATATTATATGTATGTATACAATATATAAGATTTTATATTAGATAATCCCTCTTTAATATAATTTCAAAACGTGTTGAGCCTAAATGGTTGGATTGCACGCTTCGGAAGCTTAGTTGACAACATTACATGCTTCGGCTTTTGGTTCGGATAAAAATTATTTTTGGTTAATCTGATCCCTTCCATCTAAAATAAATAGGATTCTTATATCCCGTGTAACTCCAAAATAAATAGGATTCTTATATGCGTGTAAATAGGATTTTTTGCTTTTTGCCCGATCCTTCCAACCGATCCCCTCCAACTCCAAAATAAGTAGGATTCTTATATCCCGTCTAAATAGGATTTTTTACTTTTTCCGGATCCCCTCCAACTCTAAAATAAATAGGATTCTTATATCCGTGTAAATAGGATTTGCTTACACAGGTTAAGAATCCTATACCAATATTATAATATATTTTTGGATTATAATATATTTTTAGAATGTTATATCTCGATTGTCTAGAATGTTATATTATTTTTGTAATAAATTTACCCTACATATAGAAATATAACTACAACAACTTGGTTTATTATGTATAAAAAACTTTGATTTATAATCTATAAAAAATCTTGATTTATCACATATACAAATTCAATTCTATAATTATCAAGACAATTATAAAATATTTCAAAATTATTCACAAAAATATTATCAAAAAGAGTTATTTATAAAATTAGAATGTTATAAAAAGGATGGTGAAAATTTCAAACTTTTTAATAAATTCTATTTTAACATCCATGAAAATATTTTTACCATGTTTTCAAAATATTTATAAAAATATTTTAAAATAATTTATATATAGAAAAGTAAGACTTTTTTATTGAATTATAACAATTATTCATGAATATTTATTTGCACGAATATTGCTAGGTCGATGCATTTTTTTTCATGAACAATGTATTTTAAATATTTAGTTTGATTTTGTATTCATACAAATTATTGATTTATAATTAATTTTATACCTTCACACTAACACTGTTATGCATGCATGACATTTATCTGATTGTTATAAATTTCATAAATATAATAACTTCAGCTTATAAAGTGCACGAGTAAGAGATATTCATCCCCCTTAATATAATTTCAAAACGTGTTGAGCCTAAATGGCTGGCTCGCATGCTTCGGAAGCTTACATGGAAATAAATTATATGTATCTTTATAACAATAATTAATTTTTTTAATATTAATTAGAAAAATAAAATTATTTATCAATTAATATATTTATAAACAAAAGGTGGTATTTTCTATTTTTGCACTTTTATACGACAACATGTGTTTTTTCTATTATTTTATGTTTTATATTTTTTTTTCAGACAACCCGTGTAGTACACGGGTGTCGTACTAGTGGATGTATTACATTTTAAAAATTTTGATTATATACAAATGTGTGATGTAAATAAAATTAACTCATGGATCTTTATATTGATGCCGTAAATTTTAATGGACAATATAATTTAGTAATTTAGAGGACCATACAATTAATTAGTTAGAAGAATATTACAATTATTTTCATCATTGTTATAGCAATTGTTTATGTGATTTTAAGGTGTTTAATTATGCTCATGCCAATTAACTAATATTAGATAAAAATCGTTTAAAAAGACAAAAAAATATTTTATTTTAGAAAAAGTATTTTGAAGAAAAAAATTGTAATACAATTTCTTATAAGTATGTAACTTCTACATACTATTTAATATAAAATTATAATCAGTTAGTGTTAGTAGTAATATTATATAATAAATTAGTTTAAAATTGTTATTACACTTTATTAATGTAAAGTGTAACACTTCTACATTAATTGAAAAAAAGAACAGAAAAATTATGAAAGTTTTATTAATTAAGTTTTATTTATTGCTATCTACCTTCTTATCTACCTTCTTAACTTATAAGAAAATAAGAGAGACCTTCTTAACTTATAAGAAAATAAGAGACTTGCTTTAAAATGCGACACGTGGCTATTCTCTTCTGCGGCCTTTTGGCTTCTCCTTTCCTCCGATTTTTTCTTTCTTTTTGCTTCTCATTTCCTACGATTTTTTTATTTTCTTTATACGGTCAGGAAGGCACTGGAAGCTCCATTTTAATAATCCCCCTCAAATTCTTCTCCCCGAAACCCTAATTCCCCCACAAATTACGAACCCCCAAATTCTCATCCGGCGAGACTCCCTCAGCCCCCGCCGCCGCGGTAGCAAGAAATCCCACCCCACCGCGTTGACACCTCCGTCTTCTTCATCCAAGAAGAACCCAAGCGGCCCACCAAAGCAAACGAAGCCCCGAGCACCCCCGCTGTTTCCGACCAAATCCCCGACGCTGACAACGCTGAAACGAGCTGTACGACTTAGACGATAGCGTGGACTTCTTGTACGAGGATCCGCCACTGGACTCTGGAATTTACAGAATAAAAATGCTATCTTTATTCTTTTTTTTTTTTTTTCCCGTTTTGCTTTGTTTATGTGGGTTCTGTTGATGGGATTTTGACAAGATGAATTGTTATTGGTGGTTGGCGGTTGGATTAATTGATCATTGTACTAATTTGGGTCTTCTTCTTTTGTGAATATTTGATTATAATTGTGATTTTTTTCCATTTTTTCATTTTGGGATTGGATTTGTGTGCTGTGGATTGGATGTGCTCTTGATTAAGTAGAAAGAAATTTTCTTGATTTGAGAGTTTAATTGATCATTTGTGTTTTTGTGTGTTTGATCATGAACTTCGTTGATTTTGGGGGTTTGAGCAATTGACCATACGTAGCTCATTGTCTTCATATTTACTTCCTGACTTCATGTGTCTTGGTTGTTAACAGGGTGACCATTTTCCATGAAATGCATTGTTTAAAGCTTGTTTTTGTCTTGTAATCGACGAGATGCTGGAGACGGTCCAGCGAGTTAGACTCGTGCTTCACCAGAAGGAAGAAAGCATGCAGGAGGAGTGCACTAGACCCCAGCGAGCGAGGGTCCCGTAGGCGGGATTCTTTTCAGAGAAACTGTGGCGTGCAGAGTCAATGGTGGCTCTCTCGCTTTAGAAATCATGGTTGTTGATTTCGAGGAGCGGGCTGAGAGCAGTTTGGTCGCAGGCTACAATTTCAGGCCAAGTTTTTCTTCACCTTTTTTTTTGTTTAGTTTAAATTATTTTATCTTTTGATGGACTGAATACGCACAACAATCACGGGCCGATCATCGTCGAGCCTCTCCAGCAACTCGGTGCTCCTGCGGGCCGGCAGCCCTATTGCCACCATCACTTCACGCACGCTACGGGCCCACCTGAGCCATGCGATAGGTAGCATCTCCACAGGAAACGCTTGTAGGTTTGGGGAAATCTCGCATCAGAGACCAGACCACAGGCAGTCGGGCATCAATCGACCGAGTCAGCATCAAGCTGCACCTATTCGGAACCATAGGGTTGGTGTGGTAAAGAGCTTTCATTCTCTCCTTATAAATAAAGCTGCTTGTCATTTTTTTCTTTTCTTTTTTTCCTCTCATTTAATTGCTTCTTTAATACTCTCGTTTAAAATTTGTGTTTTCTGCAGCACCGGCCTTGGTGGCACCTCTTAAAGTCTTCACTTCGTTCAAAATGACACCGATTAGGGGATGTTTTCCAACATGCTTCTTTGCATTTTTTTTTCCTAAACTCTTTCTTACTTGATCGCGATTTTTTTTTT